GAGATTATCGAGGTGCTACTGTATAAAATCGGCGAGGGGCGCGGCCGTGCGAACAAATAACTGAATTCTCGCACGGCCGTCCGAGATTTGGAGACGCTACTGTATAAAATCGAGAAGGGGCGCGGACGTGCGGAATTTACACTGAATTCTCGCACGGCCGTCCGAGAAACAGCAACCTACTGCCCAACTTTTGAATTTTGCACGGCCGTCCGAAAAAACAGTGCAAGAGGTCACACGGCCGTGCGAAATAAAAACAGTGCGTATTAAAGAAGGGTTTTCTACACAACAATTTTCACAATTCCCATTCCTCTCTCTTCCCCACTTCGAACCCTAACCTTCTTCTTTCAAAATTTTCCCTTTTCTTTGACAAATTTCACCGAAAATTCACAATTACACACATATAATACTCAAACACGGTGGATTGTTGTTGATTTGTGCAGGGAGGATTCAAGAAAGGTGCAAATTTCTCTAAAAACCCATTCAACAAGGACCGCCCACAAGGTGTTCGACGATTTGCCCGAGTCAAGTTTGGGGGAAATTTTGCACACCAATTCACTTCAAATCCCTTCCACAAGGCATTCTCACATCATGGGGAAACGAGGACATGACGGGGAGGGCACCTCACAAGGCGAAGGCACTTCAAAAGGCAAGGGGAAGGGCAAGAAAGCCTATCAAATTCCAACCCCCGATGACGATGCATTTTGTGTCGAAGGCGCCAAGGTTCGTTTTGAAAAACAAAAAGTGAAGAAACTTGTGACGGAGCGCGCATATGAGGTCACCCTACCGCAATGTGCATCGTTGCATCAAGAATTCCTACGACGAGGGTGGCAATCATTGTTGGAACCGGCGGAGTCGATAAACTTATCTTTGGTCCGCGAGTTCTACGCCAACACCCGTATTCTCCTAACTTCGGATAGGAAGACGAGCACGGTTCGAGGGAAGCGGGTCGATTGGAGTGCCAAGGCCATCAACTCCTTCTACAACGTCCGACATGAGCCATTCAACTGGGAACAAATGCAACTCGCGGTAACAAAAGATCAACTCGGCGAGGTGTTGTGTGATGGGCCCCCAATTTGGTCCGAATTCTCCACCGAGGAGGAATACGAGTTGGAGTGGAAATGCATCCACCAAATAGGCAAGGCATGCCTTACTTTCATATGCGCCGACCTCATCCCCACCCGCTCATGGACTCACGTGGACCATGAACGGTGTGCTCTTGCATATTACATTTTAAAGGGCACACCGATCAATAATGGCGAAATCATATCCGACCGTTTTTGGATCTCCATGATCAACAACTCCAAAGGGTTCTATTTCCCTTGCCTCGTTACCGGCCTATGCAAGAAGGCGAAGGTCCCAACCAAAACGACGGATATTATCACACAAATTCGGAAGCCGATGAGTAACCTTGCGGCCCGACAATTCAAGGCACCCATCCACGGTGGCGAGCAACCCGTCGATAGCCAACCATTAGCTCCACCCGAGGGTCCAAGCACAAGTTCGGACCGCCGTTTTCAAAGAAGAATGGAGCGAGAGTTGGTCATTACTAGAAATCGGCTTGCCACGGTGGAGCACAAGGTGAGCACAATCGAATCTCTTCAACGGTGGTCGGGGAAGATGCTCCAAGCCATTGTGCGCCATTTGGCGTGCGGTACGCCCGAGTGCGCCGAACCGGAACCATTGTCCGCACTGATTCTTGAGCCGGTACCCGAGCTATTGGAGGATGAGGGAGATGGTGATGCTCATGAGCACGGTGGAGTTGGTGAGCAACCCGATGATGGTCCAGACGCTTAAACAGGTGTTTTCTATCCTTAAACTCCGGGCGAATCACATTGAGGGCAATGTGAATTTTAAGTTTGGGGCTGGTTAACTATTTGTTTTCTTTTATGTGCGCTTAATTTGTGTTTTACTTGTTTATTAGTTTGCATGTTTTAGTTTTTGTTTTAGTTGTCGTTTTATTATTTAAAAAAAAATGGCATGAGAAAAAAAAAAAAAGTTTAAATTTTTTTTTTGCTTGGATCGACACATCGATGAATTATGATGATGGGAGATGGTCAATGTTTGATGATGAGATTACTTGTTTTATGTTGATAAGGAGTAGATATTCATTTAGCTTTCGATTCAACGGAACGTAGAAGTGAATTATTGCTAGGAATCACACCTTGTGGATTGCTTTGGTTGAATGTTTTGTATTTTAAATTTGGAATTTATTTGTGCTAAATCATGCTTTGTTCGGTTTTAAAACTCACCTTAGGAAATTTATGATTCGAAGTATTGAGTAGTGAGTAATTTGGGATATGATTTGGGCCTTCTTTGAATCGTTTGAGCCTTTCAAGCCGACCTTTTTATCGAAATTATCTTTAGAACCTTGATTTGAGCCTCGGAGAAAAGGTGTTCTTTCTTTTAGCCAATGTGTATAAGGTAGAATAGATGGAGATTCTTGAAAAATTACCCCTTGGAGTTCGGTTGAAAATTTTTATAAGGTCCTTCTTCTTCTTCCACGAAAAAAAAAAAAAAAATAGAGAGAAAGAAGAAGAAGAAAATAGAAGGGAGAAGTAAGGACTAGTTGTTGAATTGTTTTGAAAGCTCGATCCATTGCCTCAAAAGCAAAAGTGGAGACTTTTGAACTTTTGAGAATCGAGTTGACTTAAAGTCCTTAGAGGTGATTTCATTATTTCAACGCTTATATTTCAAATTTCGGCGTAATCACCTCAATTCAAGAACAATAGCCACATATACCCATATTTCCTACCTCGAACTAAAGAGCCTTGCAATTGAAAGCCACAAAGTCCCAATGATCCCAATAGCTTAATGTTCAATATTAGTTGAGTAGAATAAATGTGTGAGTATTTGGAGTCAAATATATGCATGTAAGTATAAATTCTTTCTATCTTTAATTTGCAAATATTGGATACTTGAAGCAATTGTATGATTTGTGGTTTTTGGTGATAGTAAGTGACTAAGTGCCGTTGAATGTTAAGCTTACGAATACCTAGGAATTGTCATCATAATTGCAAGTTCTAAAAACGCGAAGTTGATCAAATCGACCTATGTAATGAGATGTATAGTCGAGGTTTGTGCTCATAAATTGATTTTACTTGAGGACAAGCAAAAGTTCAAGTTTTGGGGTGTGTTAAGTGTATATTTTTACACTTAATTGTACCTTTTAATCGGAGCTTTTGGTGTGTTTCAACGATAATTGGTGCTTAAAATGGTTATTATTTGTATTTTAGGTACAAATTGAAGAATTGGCAACTTATGGGGTAAAAACTGCAAATTCAGAGAAAAAATGGGCCAAAAGTAAAAAAATCAAAACTTTGAAGAATTAAAGACCGGACGGCCGTCCGGGTTTCAGAGCTATTTCTCGCACGGGCGTCCGGGTTCAGGAAGTGGCGCAGTGAAGGAAGTTTAATTACACAAGGAAACCGCCCTCTTATATTTTTGCACCCTATTTAAAGGCCAAAAAAGCACACAATTAGGAATCTATCTTTTTACACACAATCTAGGAGCAAGAGAACGGAGCAACGAAGACGAAGACTTGACGAATCTTCATCATAGTTCTCCCTTTTTATTTTTATTTCTCGATTTTTATGAATTTTCGTATTTTTATGCTTTTCGTAGAGAACATAAGTAGCTAAGTTTTTAATCTAGGATTTTGTTTGAACCCTATGTGGTAATTCGAACCTATTTTTCTAATATTATGCAAGTTTAAATTCCATGATTATTTCTTCTATCTGATCTTATTTAGTGCATGAATCTAGCTAATTTTTGTTGCTATGTGTTATTGTTAGAATTGAATCGACAGATCGTTTTAATAATTAGAACAGCGATAGAAGAACCTTCGAGTAGTTTCACCGGATGAGTGTGTTAATTGCATGTATTATCGTAGACATACAGATAATACCTTAGGTAGCCATTTACGAGACTTGTTATTTAATGTTTTATTCATAATTGGTTTGCATAGACATATAGTGAATCGGGTATGAATAATAGACTCATAATACACGCGACAGCGGGTTATGAGTAATTGAGTGTCTTGGGTTAATAATCGGGAATCGTGACTTACATGATAGAGGTTTAATTGGGTGATGAACTATCGCATAGGGGGAAGATAAAATCCTAGATCCGTTTTTATTGATATTCTCGCGTGTTTATTTGTTTTTATAATTAGTTTAATTATTTAGTTGATTAAATTTCACAACCTTAAGTAGGCTGGATAAAAATCATAATTGTTAGAATTTGGTACTTAGGATTAGATAATTTGAGTATTCCCTGTGGGATCGACATCCGACACTCACGAGTCCACTTTTACTACTTGTTTGCGATACGTGCACTTGCGTGTTAGGTATTTAGCCCCAACAGATTCCTTCTGAAGATGTGATTATTCCAGTATCCTCACTGGTGAAAAGTTATGAAACTATTTGATTTATTGCTGTTTGTCATGGTGGTTTCACAAATTTCAATTTGTACTATCTCCAAGACAAAATTGCAAGGTCTAAGTTCAAGTTTAGTAAATATGGTATTTGTCGACAGAGAGAAAAAAAAAAAACCCGTCTCCAATGGCTGAGATAAATATAGCTCATTAGCTGAAAAAATTCCTACAGCTACAATAGCATATCCAATAGGTAAATCTTAGAGTAAATAAAAGACTACAAATTTACCAATATAATAACTAAAATCTTTAAAGATAATACTCAAGTTCGAGTATTCAAGTTCAATATGTTTTTCTTTTTCAGTGGTTAAAAACAGAATGACTGAATTTGGTTTCAAACATACTTACGATGCTTGAATTACAGCGACAACACAGTATTCTTTAGCAAACGGCGAACAAATAGTTCACTATGTTCTTACTGCTCGCGGAGTGAACTCGGCTATAAACTATTATTTGGCTGCTTTCCTATGGGATTCTTTTGTGGTTGCATGAAATTCCCTGTGACTTGTCTTCTTTATATTCTAACAAGTACAAACTATCCATGGTGGCAGGACTAGAAATACTGATAAAAATTTGTAAGAAGATAAGGCATCCATGTATTAAAGTATTACGATTAATTTGTGCGGGAATACATTTTGTATCCGACAAAGTATCTTCTCTGTGTACAAAATATGTAAAGAATCTAGCTAACAAAATTTATATGCTCTAAAACCTAGCATATATATTATGCTCTCCTCAAGCGAGATGTTAGATCGACGAATAAATCCTCACTGCAGGGAATAGTAAGTCCACCCATTGGATGGTGGAATCCGAATTCTTCTTCAGCTTGACATAGTAATTCTTGAAAGGAAGGATGATTCAAATACGATAATGGAATTACAAATCGCTTCTTTTCACTTTCTCCGATGTAAACAGCCAAATGTCCCTTTGGAACTTCAGTTGATCTTTTTTCACCCGATAAAGACCGCCTTAGAATTTTGTGAATAGCCATCGATTCTTTGTTAAAATTAATCTTTTGTGAAGCCAAAAATGAAAGACAATGAAGTAGTATATGAGAGTTTTATGAAGCAAGTGAAATATGAGAAGTTGAAGGCTGCAGGCTGTGAGTTTAGATATGTGACGTATAAACATATATATAGATGAACTTGTAAATGGTATATCCAAATTAGCTGGATTGAATGGTGATGAAAAAACCAAAGAATATGTGGTGGCTGGAGATGTTAGAGAAACAAAAGCACATGAAAAATCACATGGTTTTGTCCATAAATTAGAGCAACATAATGAATTATATATCATCCCTAACACTTACACCACCAGCAAGAAAACGTCACATTGAATTGAATGTGGTATTTAGGATAAGATGGCCTAATTAGTAGATATATCGAAATAAATAGAGATGTTGAGATGATGGTTTAAGGGGCCATGTTGCCAGAGTTGGTAGGATACAACATTTTCTATCACACAAATTCTTGTTGGCTTGAATTCATTTCATTTTTTTAAAGACAAATCCATGTGCTTTCATATGCGTGTGTTTTTTCGAGTTTCATAGAGCAACCACATTTATGTTGACCGTGTTATGTCGATATCTCAACAATTCATCATTTCTTTCTAGCCTATATATACAACACCGTTTCTTGATTACAAACAACAACTCCTGATCAAAATACTCTTATCCTTCTCAGCTTTCACTTATTTCAAATACCTCTTCGTTTTTACTTGAGCTAAGCAAGATTCACTTCACACAAACTAAGATGGCAATCCGTCAAATTTTGAGACGGTCATTATCCAACGAAAGAAGATCAGTTGAAGTTCCAAAAGGGCATTTGGCTGTTTATGTTGGGGAGGGCGAGAAAAAGCGATTTGTTATTCCATTATCGTACTTAAACCATCATTTGTTTCAAGAATTGCTATTCCAGGCCGAAAAAGAATTTGGATTCCATCATCCGATGGGTGGGATCACTATTCCTTGCACTGAAGATCTATTTATTGATTTAACCTCTCGTTTGAGCAGAACATGATCGATATACATGTTTAGGAGTATCACGATTTTGTAAAATTAGTTATTCTTGTATGTTCTCATTTTGTAGACAAATATGAGGGTTTATCAATAGAAGAAAAATGTATAGAAGCACAGAATTAGAGTATATATATACGAAAATCTTTGAACCATTTTAAGATGCAAAAGTACTGTGTTGTTTGAGTTGGAAATACTAATTTCATATGAACTAAACAGTACGTTCAAATCAATCTTGATCAGCCACTACAGAGCATAAAATATTCTGCATCCCGACCAGAGCATAAAATATTCTCCAGGCATGGAATTAGCCACTACAGACGACCCAATCGGAGTCACCAAATCATGCGTTTGTTCTTACAAAGGTGTCTTTTGTTTGATTTATCGAGATTTCATACAAAATCCCATACGTACAGTTGTGGCAGCCGTAGATCTCAATCGCATCAATTTGCAAGGAACTCTAGTTAGAGACCTCTCATTTCTCACCTATTTATCTCTTTAGCTCATCCCATAATCTCTAAGGCCGATGACGCCTGAGGTCCGAAGGTTTGGCAAAGGGACAACACAATGGAAAGGGGAGAAGCCATGGTCATTTTTGTAATTTTCCAGCCTTGATCAAACATTGTCAAGGTCAGAAATCTAAAAACTAATGCCGCGGACTACATTGGGACAATTTAAGCAGTACATAGGGGTAAATCAATGCAATCGTAAGTAAAATGGGATAAAGTGGTACAAGAGGGGTGGAAATTGGGATTTGCCCTATATTTTATCCACATGTTAAAAAATAATAATATAATTTAATTATAAGCACGCTTTAAATAAATATTTCTGAATTTTTCTACTTAACAATGACAAAATTAAACATGAATTATTGGGACCATGGTTCGCTGGAACACCCGGAACGCAACGGGAATGAACCTCCAGTTTCGGATTCGATTACGGAGAGGAGTTGTATTGTGAAGTTCTGTCTCATTTTGCAGTTGGTGGATTTTGGACGCACAGTGGATGGAATTCGACGCTGGGGAGTATTTGCGAAGGAGTACCGATGATTTGTTCGCCTTTTTTCGGCGATCAAATGGTGAATTCGACGTATGTGGATGGTGTTTGGAAAATAGGGATCAAAATGGAGAAATGTTGGATGGAGAGAGGTGAGATTGAAGAGGCTATTATGAGAGTGATTGTGGGAAGAGAAGGTGAGAAGAAATGAGGGAGAGAGTTTGGTGTCTTAATGATTTGGGTGGTTCTTAGTGTGTGGCACTTGACGGTTTGGTTAATCTCATTTCATCTTTTGTTAAATCTTCTGCTCGATTGGTTATTACACGAGACAGTTAGTGTTTATTCACTAATAAAAAGGGGCAAACCGTCACTCCTAATGGAAAATCAAATTACAAGGGAGAGTTTACAATCACCATCAATTATATATTGTCTTACAAGTTCAATAATTTAAGAGGAAGTTTTTGCATAAAATAATTCGTAGTGAAGGAAGGTGGTTGTAGTTATTCAAACAAGATAGATTTTTGTTATTTACCCATGCCATAATATGTTCACAATGTTCTAGGTCTGAAAAAGGTACTGATAAAAAGAGTTTTAACATATAGAAATGAATTAATGTGAAAAGAGTTTAAAATGTAATTTGTTACTTACCAGTTCTGGAATTTCTGTTATACATAGTGAGTGATACAGTACTAAAACAATTTCAAAAACTTGCTCAAATACAAAATTCAAAAGAAATACAGTACTACCAAATATACGCCAACATAAAAACAATTATTCATCATTCATTACAACCAACCACACAAACCAAACCAAAAGTTACTGGAATACAAAATTAAAACATTAACCAGAGATATCAATGGACTTGACCTCAGGTTTCTTCACCTCCTCTTTCGGCACCGTCACAGTCAGCACCCCATTCTCCATCGCCGCCTTCACCTGTTCCAATTTTGCATTCTCCGGCAGCCTGAATCGTCGGATGAACTTGCCGGAGCTCCTCTCGATGCGATGCCACTTGTCGTTCTTCTCCTCCTGCTCTTTGCTTCTCTCTCCGCTTATCTGAAGAATACTGCCATCTTCAACCTCAACCTTCACTTCTTCCTTTTTCAGCCCGGGAACATCCACTTTAAACAAGTGGGCCTCCGGCGTCTCTTTCCAGTCGATCCGAGCATTTGCCACCGCGGTTGTTTCTCTGGCGGAGGAAGGGAGATTGGCAACGGCGGAGGAGAATGGGAAGCCCTCAAATGGGTCCCAAACATCCAATGAAAATGGATCGAAAATGTTGCTACGGCGGCCGTTGCCAAAGAAGCTTGGTATCAAAGACATTTCTTCAAAAAATAATACTGGATGGATGATTTGGTTGTTGATGAAGAATTTGATAGTTTGCAGATAACTGAGTTTCTAGTTTTCGATGGGGATTTGGTTGGAGAATGAGTATTTATAATTTAGATGGGTGATCAGACGATTCTTGCAAATTCTTGAAATTTCGAGAGCCAAACGAATTTCGAACATGTTCTAGAAAATACTTCATTGTTCTTTTGCTTGGGCCTTGACTTTATATTTTGGGCTCATAACTGGATAAACTTTTGTAGCCCAATCTTACTACAATCCATCTGCATCACCTTTATCCATAATTATGAATTCATTTCGGGGTTTTTTTCCACTTCATTTATTTTGTAGTATTATATATTGAGGTAATTTTTTATAGGTCCCGTTACTAGATTCTGTAGGTATATAAGTCCAATTTTATTAGAACCCCCTATAATTAATTATGGCTGATATACCCTTAAATAACATAGGAAATTTTTATTCTTAAATCAATAAATAGCAAATTTATTCCCCGTGAACCCATCTAGCAAAAATAGGGCCGCGATTATCTCGATCGTTGAATCTCTGAAAGAAAAAAAAATTCTCTCCCTTTTTATGCGAAACAAATACTGTAATCCTAGAAACAATCGTAAAATTGATTTTTCTAATCGTTATTCTCGTAGATGTAAATTTCAAAAAAAAAAAAAAAACAAAAAAAAAAAAAAACAGAGATAATGATTAAAGATGGAAAAAGTTCAGGTGATTTGCTCTTTTATGTCTGTTCTTTTATGTTTTTAACGGCAATTTATGCACGAATTGTCATGAACATTTTCATCAATGGATTCAAAGATGTTGATATATTGATTCTTCGACCCCAATTACCATATTTGTTTTATGTGAAAATCATTGGTTTCTTGCTTTTGATTTTGCTGTTTTTTATTATATAATTTTTTTATGTCAATTGCAACATTTTATCGGTTTTTGTTTGGATTTTTTTTGTTTTTAGCATAGTATTTTTTGCACTTTGCTTTTTATTTTGGATTTTACTTATATGATGCATATTTTGCTTTTATATTATATTTCATTTCGACTTTGTTGTTATCATAGTATAAGTTGCACTTTACTGTAATATTTGCAGTTTGGTGTCGTAACAAGTGGTTTCATCTATCATAACAAAATACTTGTTGAAAATAACTTATTGTCATTGTATCGTTTGCATTTTGCAGTTTATTGTTGACAATTACATTTGGATATGGTTATTTGCATACTTTTATTTGGTTGTTGTTGCCACTATTTTGTTGATGTTGTTGTAGTTTATATTTTTTATGTTGTTGTTTGCAACGTGAAGTTTGTTGATGTTGTCCCTTTAGACGGTTTTCAATTTCACTTTGGCAGTTCTGCATATTTTAATTTGCAGCTCGTTATTGCAAATTAATATTAGTTTTTTCTTCTTCTTTGGGAATAACTATGAAATGTTTGAAATATTTTTTGGTTCTCTTTGTAAACTCGTATTAAAGTTAATGTGTGTGTAGCTTTTTTCTTTTGTATTTTACTGTTTCATTATGTATTGCATATTGCAATAGTAATTGTATTTTTTGTATCTCGTTGTTGCAACTTCGAACATTGTATTTTTCTATAGGGATTCTATGATGCGTTTTGATATTGTAAATATGCATTGATGAAAATGTGTGCATATTATAATTGGAAGCTTTTTTGGTTGAACTTGCATTTTACCGTCGTTGCAACTATAGGTCATAAGAAAACAAACAAGAGATTCATTAGAGTGAGAGAGCCGTGAGGCTACTAAACTAGAAAAGAAAAAAAAAGAAAAAAAAAAGGAGAGAGAGAGATAGGAGTTAAATTAGAGAGAGACGTGAGGGAGAGGAGAGAGAGAGGAGTTAAATGGAGAGTGAAATGTGATATTTTATTCATATTTTCCATAACTAATTATCTTAATATAAATAATAACTAAGGGTATTAATGTCAATAGAAAAATAATTTAATTTAATTTATATTACATTTATTGATGAAGTGACTTATAGCTATAATCAACTAATAAAATGGACCCCATCTATATAAATTCCAAATACGGGGGTTCTAGCTAATTATCCATATATATATTGTAGCGATTATTTTAGAGACCTCCCTTATTTAGTACGCTTAACTTCGGAGGTCTGATGGGATCCGGTGCATTAGTGCTGGTATGATCGCACCTGAAATCTATGCACACAATTTGGTTTTATGTTGAAAAACTTGTACCGTAGCGGCTTAAAGCGTTGATAACTTTTGACTCGGATGAGTTTCGAGGCGATCTGCATATGAACGCGAAGCTCTTTCAGGCGCCGTCGGCATGTTAGTTGGGCAAAGCCCCATTGTCCATGCGCTCGCAGTGAAAAGAGACCGTTTAGCTCAGTTTCGGCCACTATTAAACGTGACCGACGCGTTTGTCGATGCAATCAGCTCATTTGATTGATCCGACCGGCCCCAAATTTGCGCTGAGATATACATTTAATTGATATATAACTAATCACCTAACTAATTACATCCTTGTACGTACTCCTTCATTTCGAAATTAATTTGATAGACCCCCCTAGCCCACCCTGATGTACTTAAAATGCCCTTTTATAATCATTTTTAAACCCTAGTCACTCACAGTCGTCTCTCTCTTCCTCTCTCAACTCCAATATTAAAATCCGGCCCCCATAGATCTCCAACCGGCGAAGTTGCTTCCCGGAGTCATATCTCTCTCCGGTGGTCGAAATTCGATGGTTTAACTACCGTTGGTTTCCTCTCGTCGAGCTCTTTCTTTTGGAGGTCATAGCTTCAAAATGCTAAGAATTTTAGACCAAACCGCCAATTACTCCTCACCCCAATCGCCTCCTACCAAAAACCCTAGCCACCGCTAACCACCCAAGTGATATGAACTACGCCGACATGTGACGAAACCCAATAAGAATATATGGTTTTGAAACCCCAAGATCCCCTAAAGAAACAAGTTTATCGAACCCTGACCCAATGATTAGTAAATCACGAACCAAGATTACAATGGATACAAAGACGCCACACCAATAATTTGTTCCTTCTGTTGAGATTTCAAGCTCTTTAAATATATTTGTTTTTCTTGCAGGTTTGTCAACACAAATAATAATTTATTAAGATGTCGACACAATCAACAATTGTAACTTATGTTGAGTGTTAAGTGTATATTTATACACTTAATTGTACCTTTTAATTGGAGCTTTTGATGTGTTTTTACGATAATTGGTGCTTAATATGGTTATTATTTGTATTTTAGGTGCAAATTGAAGAATTGGCAACTTTTGGGGTTAAAACTGCAAGTTCGGAGAAAAAGTGGGCCAAAAGTAAAAAAATCAGAATTCTGGAGAATCAAGGACCGGACGGCCGTCCGGATTTTAAAGCCTATTCTCGCACGGCCGTCCGGATGGATGTAGGGGCGCAGTGAAGGAAGTTTAATTACACAAGGAAACCCGCCCTATTATATTTTTGCACCCTATTTAAAGGCCACAAGCACACAATTAGGATTATCTTTTACTTTTTATCTTTAATCTTTAGGTTTTTATTTTTCATCTTTCTACACGCAATCAAGGAGCACAAGAACGAAGACGAAGACTTGACGACTCTTCATCATAGTTCTCCTCTTTTATTAGCTTTTATGATTTTTCGTATTTTTATTATGTTTTTCGTACCGAACATGAGTAGCTAAGTTTTTATTCTAGGATTTTATTGGAACCCTATGTGGTAATTCGAACCTCTTTTTCGACTTTTATGCAAGTTTAATTCTTCGATTATTTCTTCTATCTTGATCTTATTTAGCGCATGAACGTAGCTAATTTATGTTGCTATGTGTTATTGTTAGAATTGATTGACAGATCGTTTTAATAATTAGAACAGGGATAGAAGAGCCTTCGAGTAGTTTTTCACCGAATGTGTGTGTTGATTGCATGTATTATCGTAGACATACAGATAATACCTTAGGTAGCCGTTTACGAGACTTGTTATTGAATGCTTTATTTATACTAGGTTTGCATAGACATATAGTGAATCTTTTATGAATAATAGGCTTATAACGCAGCGACAGCTGGTTATGAGTAATTTCGTGTCTTGGGTTAATAATCGGGAATCGTAACTTGCATGATAGGAGATTAATTGGGTGAAGAATTATCGCATAGGGGAAAGATAAAATCCTAGATCCGTTTTATATTGATATTTTTCTCGTGTTTAATTGCTTTCTTAATTAGTTTAATTTATTTAGTTAATTAATTTGACAACCCTCCGTAGGCTGGATAAAAATCACAATTGTTAGGATTTGGTACTTAGGATTAAATAATTTGCGTATTCCCTGTGGGATCGACATCCGACTCTCACGAGTCTACTTTACTACTTGTTTGCGATACGTACACTTGCGTGTTGGTATTTAGCACCCAACAAGTTTTTGGCGCCGTTGCCGGGGACTACGGCTAAATTGTTTATTTATCCTAATATTAAATTTAAACAATTTTTCTTACTTCAGCCATTTTATTTATTTTATTTAATCATTTTATTATTTTGTTTTAGGTACTTTTTATGCGAAGAGGACACGACACGAGCTTGCTACCTCTCGACCCCGAAATTGAGCGAACGTTTAGGCAAGCCAGGGGAAATCAACGGTTAGCTCAAAACGCTCCCGCAACGATGGAAGAAGAGATCAATCGTAGGGAAGATGACCAAGGGCGCATACCGATTGCGGTTGGGGAAGTCGTCAATGAGCAAGAGCAACGCCAGCTAATTAATCCACCACCGCGTCAACGAGCACTGCATGAGTACACCGTTCCAACGCTTAATGGGTTTCAATCAAGTATCCAGCAGCCCCCCATTGAAGCCAACAATTTCGAGATTCGAGCGGGACTCCTCACGATGTTCCAAAACAATGGGTTATTCAGCGGATTGGCTCATGAAGACCCACATCTCCACTTAGTCAATTTCCTCGAAACGTGTGACTCGCACAAGATGAACGGAGTATCACCCGAAGCATTGCAACTCCGCCTGATCAAACACTCCTTACAAGGAGCAGCCCGAGAATGGTTGCAAACTCGTGCACCGCACTCCATCTCGTCGTGGG